ATAGATTCATATTTTCCCTATTCTTTTTTTGTGATAATTATAATGTATCTCTCAAGGAGGGCATAAAAATAGAGAAACATAGGTAAAATACTAGAATGGTTAAACTCCCTCTCATAAATATAGAGTATACTTTCTTCTCCTTGAGATTACATTTCTCCCTCTTTGGCATTATCGACAAGGATGGAAACAAAAATAGATAAATTACATAAGCATATAGACCATATTTAGGAGGAATAAGTTACCTAATAAAGAGGTGAAAAAATAGGCATAAAGAGATGAACAATTAAGTAGGACATATGACCATACTTCTCCATCCGATGGGATTGGAAAAAACATTTGGAAAATGTTTTTTATATACTTCCCATTTAAGTTTATTACACTTTTATTCTTTGGGCACACACTTAAACACACAATAAATAGAAAAATAATCATAATAAAGATATGATAATTTAGCACTTGTTATAAGAATAATCAAAACTTTTCAAATTCATTCTCTACCAAGTGACCTACCATTTACTAAACAAGGTAAGCTTTATAGGACTTCTTCCTCTGAATTATTTCTTGAACCAAATTCAAATTTCTTTGAATATCTCTAACTCAACATACAATTCTGAAATCTATCTCTTTTTTGCTGAGATTCTTTCAAAGAAATACTTTTTCAAACATGAAATCATTTTTTTTAGGAAGCCTTTTTTGATTTGACGATTTTCGTTTAATGCTCCAAAACATTCTAATATGTAGAACTTTATATTTTTTTATTATGAAACATTTTCTCTCATTAATAAATTTGTAATTCAAAAGTTACTGAAACTCCCTCATCATAAATATTATGCATCATTTAGGAAACTCCTCGTACAAGGATTATTAGTAGCACATAAGATGATATCATCAACAACAAGAATTTTCACAAGTAAAATATCATGCAAAATTTTGTTAAACAATTGCATCAACCTTCCCTCTTTGAAAATATTTTCGAGAAGAAACTTTCTCAAATGTTCGTACAAGGCCCAAGGTGCATGTTTTAAATCGTATAGAGCATTTTCCAACTTAAATATGTGATTAGAAAAAATAGGAGTTTAAAAAAACGGACAGTTGATCATCATACACTTCTTTTTGGTAGTAATCGTTTAAAAATGAATTCTTTATATCCATTTGAAAGAGTTTATGTTTTGTTATGTGTAGAAAGCAAGAAGTATCCTTATGAATTCTAATCAAGCTACAAGGGCACAAGTTTCATTGAAATTTACGCCTTCTACTGATTGTTTCCTTTTGTAATGATTATTGCTTTATTTCTTAAAATGTTTCCATCATTGTCATGCTTGTCGTGAATTACCCATCGGATTTCTATTACTTAATTAGTCAAAGTTTTGAGAATTCTCTCAAATCGATTTAACTCTTCTTGCACAACAAAAGACCAGTGTTAATAGATGAGAGCTTAATCAACTTCCTGTGACTCATTTTGGAATAGAAAAGTCATAAATTTACATAGCTTGTTAAAGAAGTGTTGAGTAATGACTCACTTAAAAATGTTCTCAATAACTATTTAGATATGATGGTCATCAGTAGTTCTCCATTCTCTAGGAAGATCCTGATGATCTACGCTTGATTCCTTATTTTGTTGATCTCTATTTTACCTTGGTTTTTCTTGATCTTTCTTTTATTTAATCTTGACTCTTGTGTTTATCTTGATCTTCTATAAGAGTTTTCTTTCAAATATCAGCACAAATAAAAAAGTCTACCTCTTCTATAAAAGGGGGTTAGATCAACAAAGATAACGTGTATGAATTCTTCTATAGTCATAGTCTTTTTAAAGAAGTTTTTTAAATAAAGGATACATTTTATTTTGAAAATTTAAGGACCTTGCATATAGAAAGAAGAATTACAACAAACTATATTATCTTTGTCACTCAATTTACTTGATACTAGATAAGTTGTGTTATACACTTATAATTTTCAAAATAGTTCAACAGTAAGTTTAAGGTTCTTACCAATAGTTCCTTAACCAACAATTTTACCTTTGTAGTTACAATGATAAAAAAGCTTCTCCTCTGAGGATAAAATATGGGAAAAGATTTATATTTTCGATCATATAATTTAAATACCCACTATCACATTTTGAGTTTGAATTATCAAGCATATCTTCATCACAATTGACCTTTGATAACCAAACTTTTTTTAATTCTTTAGTGTTAATATATTTAAGGTGACTCAAATCATTATATTTAAATCTAATTGATTACTTCAAAAACTTTTATTTTGCTAAAGTAATAAGGTTCAAGATGGTCAAGCACACAATAGTAAATATTTACAAATAGAGTGATTGTCTTTCTTTTTAGCATGACATACTATTAAAACTATTAAAATTGGTTTTAGGTTCATAACCTTATTACCTTATTATATGGTGCTCTTTAATTTCCATATAGAAAGATTCAAGTCATCTTATCATTTAGTGAATTCATCAAGTGTATTTTTTTTTAATCTTATTTTCACTTTTCAAAATATCACATTGATCGTACATGATAGATTCATTTAAAACTTCATGAAAAAAAAAAATTTGAATTATAATATTTTGACTTTCTTTAAGATTGTATTTCTTCTTTTCAAAATCGTGTGACGAAATAATGTTTTTAGAAGTGGAGGCAAGATGTTTTAACTTATTTGTTTGTTTATTTAAATTTTTACAAATGCGAAATAAACCATGACACGATATATGTGAAATTACATCATCTTCTTCATGATACTCTTAATGTTAGTTAATTTAAACTTTTAATTTTTTTAAAAATAAAATAATATTAAAAAATAATATGGTATTGAATATCCTCATTTAATATGAAGAAGAAAGTAATAGTACTCAATTAAATTAAGAATATGGAAGTGTTCATCTAAAAGAGAAACAAGTAACTAGTATCATGAGAAACATTGACAATAATATTTAGTTCATGGTGTTTGAGCCCCCTACTTCTGGTTGGGTGGTAATAAATTTGCAACTATTCAATATTTACGTACAAAACTAAAAACACGGATCTTACACAAACAGTACCCTGCAAAAATCCCCACATTTAAACTTGCAAGTTGCAATGAAGGAACAAATGCATAGTTGTCTCTACTTCCTCGTCACACAACAGGCATTGGAAAAACATTGACCAAATTAGCTATAGAAGGATTTGGATCCAAAAGAATCTTCCTTGTACACTGCCAGACTCTTCCAATTATGTTTAAAGACAGAATATTCTACTTTAGACCTTCCTGGTATCAATAGTGCAAAGAGTAATGAGTAGTGTAAACATTGATTTAACTTACAAGTTTACATCCCTCACTTGATTCCAAATCTAGGTAGAAAGTCTCATTTCTTATGCATAATGCAAGCTAATTAAACTGAAACCCCTAACCTATCTCATTTCTTAAGATTAATAACTGATTCAGACTCATTTGGTCACAAAATTATTTATGAACCATGAAAGTTTGTATGTAATAGTAACATACATCACAAATTGTATTGGAATGGACTACTAATGTACAGAAGTGAGACAAATAGAAAACCTGATGGCAGTCTCTCCTTGTTGGGATACAAGTGATGCTAGTGGATTAAAGGGGCTGTTAGTGGACTCAATTGAAGAGCTTCTGCTCTGCGTTGAATATAACTTTCCTGCAATGGAACTGCCTGCTAATGGTTGAAACAGGAAAACGTGAACCTTGACAAACTTTTCAAAACATAATTCTTTTCAAATGTAACACAGAACAGACTCGGTTCCAGACATATCTGTCAACTAGAGGTTATATGTTGAATATTTTTCAGTAATGATAAACAAAAATAGATCATGCCATTTTGAATCATCAAAGTATATTTTTCTTGAAAGCAACAAATGCATTGCTTTCTGACTAAATTACAAGTCTAGAAAACTACCCAACTCAAACAGTTCAATCTATCTCTCCCCCAACTGCCTTTTACATCCTCACAAAGCAATGGTTCCCTATAATTAGATGCTGTTCCTGTGAATTGACCAAAACCAACGGTTTCTTAAAATCCTATTTTGTTTCTGTGGCACTGACCTTGTCGACTTTAATGTGCAACTAAAACAAACATATTGCTTAATTTGATTAATGCATAAACCAAGGACAGCCTGACTCATCAAAACACAAAGCAAGCAATGCCTATAAAGCGTTCAGCACAAACACTGAGAATAATAAAAACAGTACAGAATACGTACATACATAAGATGTTTTTGACTTTTAGCGAGTCACGTGTAAGCATCCATTCCACAGAAATTGAAACAGAAGGGAGTTGTTCTTGCCCATCTGCTGAATTCCAGTCATTGTTTCCCAAGCAACTCTATCAGACGGACACAGTCCAGAACTTTTTCTTTTCCTATAAACATCTTTTGAAGCAATTTCTGCAACAACATTTTTTTGGATCCAATGATAAAACCCCTTTGAGCCTCTTTCTGCAAGTTACTTTTTTTCTGCTCTTACAAAACAGTCTTGGTGTAGCACCTGACCTAACCTTTTTCTCTGGTCTGGATGGCGAGCTGATACTTACAACAATAGCATTGGTTGCATATGTAGTCATTATATCATGGTTGTCTCGTAACGGAGAATTTTTTTTTTAATATCTACAGAAATACAATTCATTCCTTCCTGACTAAATTACATGTCTAGAAAACTACCCAACTCAAATCGTTCAATCTTTCTCTCCCCTAACTGCCTTATACAACATCCTCACAAAAAAGTTTAACCATAGCTTGCAATTCTTTTACATTAGCCCAACAAAACAATAATGACAAGTCAATGTAATACGCCATGGAATTCTATGTCAACCAAAGGAACTTGTCTTGTGAGTATAATTGTTATTCTAGAACATAAATACATCTTTCTACATAAACCATCACAAGATTGTGAATGAGAATGAATTTATAAAGTAGAATCTCATATTCATTGGAGTTATTAGAATGTTTGTGACAAGCTTAGGACAGCTGTTGCACACACGCTCTATTAAGTATCATTCAAGTAAATAAAAGTTTACATCTGGGTGAAATCCTTGGGCAGGAAGATAAATCTATTAACATTTGAAGCTTTGTATTTCTGTCTACGAAATTGGCAGTCTGAATTGCCATGGTGTTTAGTAGTCTTGAATTCTGCATTATATATTTTGGAAATGGAAGCTCACAATTTATGTGATTGTAATTTCTAAGTTCACATGTTGTAAGATGAGATAAAAGGCATTCTGGAACAACTTCTGGGTCCTCCCATTTGTTAACATAGTGACGGCGTATTACGTGAACCTGAAAAATACACAATTGAAGATTTTTAAAATATATATATTTAGAACTAAAAAAAAAAGGAGAGAAGCAATGGTAAGATTAAAGACCTGATCAATGATAAGAGTTTGAAGGTTGGGGGTATTTTGAAGCAGTTTTATGAGCCAAGGCCACTTCAAACTCACCAATGATGGATAGTGAAAGTTGAATATAAGCTCCAAGTGGGTTAAATTGTGAAACATGCCGCTTATACTAGTAATGGGTCTCCAATTCTGCAATGAGTTACAAAGAAGTTGTATTGAACAATTAAACCAACAAGTAAAACTATATTTGGACTAGTGAGAGATATTGATATAGATACCAGTTGTATCTGGAGACGCTCCACATTATGAAGCCACTCAAGCCCAATCGTGATATCACCGGAAATGTTAGCTCCGACCAAATTGGGTATTGCAAAATCTAAATCAAACTTCTCATTAGGGATCTTCTTTCTTAGACCCTTTGTTTCCAACTCCTGTAGAATGGGACAGCCAGATAGAAGTTTTTCCAGATATTCATAACATGGGAAAGTCACATATTTCATGTGAAGGACTTTGAGATTGGGAAGATCAACGCATGGAACGTGGTCCAATGTTATCCTCTTCAATTTGAGGACGGACAACGTTGCGGTGGTTAGAACGAAAGAAGGCAATGAGGTAGAGTAATCTGAACGGGAGATATGGATGATTAGGGTTTGAACTCCTCTTGTAACGGGCACATAAAGAAAATTGTAGAAATCCTGGTGGCAGAAGCAGTAGTGAAAATGAAGGTGGAATGAGAGGATAGGTAGGATGCTTTCTCGCAGTCGCATGGTGACGAAGGAGTAGAAGAATTGGCAAAAGGCGAAATTGTTTGGAAAGGATCTGTCATTGAAGTAGAGGCTGAGCTGTGAGCGCCAGAGTGGTTTCCAACGTTTAGAAAGGATGCCTGTGGCGACGGCTTGTTTTGTTGGAAGGAATGAGAGGATGCGATCGAGCACAGAGTCGGGTAAAGCACTTATTCTGTCTTCGCTTTGTGGAATGTGAAGCCGAAGCAGCGACATTGCAGTGGACAGTTTTCAGAAAAACCTGTTTTTGGATTCTAGCTTATATTTTATAGCCAACTTGCACTATCTACTTTACAATATTTACGATGTGGGACATTCGAAAGATTGGTTGAGAAAGAATTTGTAATCCTAATAAATTCAATGAAAAGTTAATCCTAACCATTTGAAAAAAAATAAATTCTAACAAAATTAATCTCAATTAAAAAATTAATTCTAATATAACATGTATGTAAAACGTCCATTTAAATTTTAGAAGAAAAAAATTGGAAAAATTATAAACAAGAAAAAAGAAATCCAAGTCAGGGGGTTTAAAATAAAAAAAGGACGTGTGTATAGTACATGGGCGTTGGACCCAGAAATTTCAAGGCTTAGTGTGTTATTTTGTTTTGTGAAATTAGAAAGGGAGTGTGACCCTAAAAATGGTGTGATGCAGCACCAGAAAGGCCCATTAGCGCCAAAAAGGCCCAATGGTCAGAATCAACCAAAAAATTATGGTCGAACGTCAGCTAATGCAGTCAGCACGGTGAACGCATGGTGGCCGTTTGATAAAAAACTCTCAGATCTGACGGTTGTGAGTGATACACGTATGCTGTTTGAGTTCTATAAGATTACTTATTGTTTTACCCTTATGTGTATTTCATCTCATTATGCCATTCAGTTGACCACTGGTAGCACACCACATGGCGTAAAGAGAAAGGAGAAAAGAGTAATTCAACAAGGACACATGGTGGAAAACTGTGCATTTTGTATTGAAAATCGGAGTGTCAAAGAGAAATATGGAAAACTTCAAGAATAAGCTCCCTTAATCCAATTAACTTCCAAGACTTGATTATTACTTTTAATGATGAATGAAAATAGAAGATGAATCTTGAATTTAGAACATTGATGAATAGGCTTGAATTGATGAACTTTGGATGATGATTGTTGATGAATCTTAATAAACTTTAGATGATGATTGTTGGTGAAACTTGATAAACTTTAGATGATGATTATTGATGAAACTTGATAAAATTTTAATGATGATTATTAATGATAATGGTTGAATTATTGATTGATGATTGTTGAAGTTGGGTTGTGGCAAAGTTCCACAGTTTTAGAACTTCAGTGTGAAGTTCTAAATGGTGATGAAGATAAACTTTGGTGAGGGTCAGGGAGAAGAAGAATTGAGAGTGAATTTGAGAAGAAAAAATGGTGGGAAATGGTTAATTGTCAATTTTCTAAGTTAGGGTAGATCCAAAATCGTGAGAAATGACATGTTTATATAGGTTTTGTAAATGAATGATCACCCTTGGATTGATCCAAGTAAGAGGTTTATCAATAGTTAGAAATTAATTTAATTCTTATTTGCGGATCAACAATTTCAACCCTTGGATTAATTGTTAAGAATGGTTAGGATTGAATGAAAAAAAATAGAAGTTGGAATTTGTGTTTGTTTGGAAGTTTTGTGTTAGTTTGGAAGTTATGGTAGTTAGGAGTTAACTGGATAATTGAATGATTGTGGAGAATGGGATAGTTAGAGATAAATGGTGTTTGTATTTAAACGCCTTTAAGATGTGATTTTATATTGAAAATAAACACTTTTGGATGGTGTAAATATATGGATCAAATTCTGAATTTTTTGGGCTTGAAACAATAGTGGAGAGTGAAGAGCAAGCTATGGAAGTAAAGCTTAATGGAAGGTAGAATTTGTTGGAAATCAGCACTTGATATAATCATGACATATGTCATTTATGATGAATGATGATGAATCCCTTAATCAAATGTTTGTAGAATAGGTCTAGAAAAATTCAAGAATCAAAATCGAGTCAATGATCGATAGTTGACCAAAAATTCAACTATACCCAAAGATGCAGTTTTTTACCCTCTTTTCATGTAATTCATTCTTTTGATTTGTATCTCAATAAATATGCATTGTACCTTGAATTTCCAATAATGAATAAAATTTTCTTTTTATTCCAACTTTGTCGTTTTCTTCGAATTCAAGCAAGATTCTGAATTAAGTGACAATCATTCCAATCTCCAAACTAACCGTGAAAATACATGATTTATACCTTAAGTAATATGGGAAATAAACCTGAATAATTAGCAAATGATATCCACTTAAACTAATAAGTTCATTATTGTTGAACCTTTGACCTAAGTTTGTTACAATATGTAAATGTCGATGAATAACCTAAAAGCATGATCAAATAGAAAAATGTATTCAAATGAACAAAACCATAAGTCGGGCGAATTGAATGACGAGGTAGAGAAAATTTTAGGGTATGACACAATCGGCACAACTTATTAAAATTAGGAGGAGGCACTCATTGCTTTGCTAACACTTTTTTGTTTGAAAGTTGAGTATATCAAATTTTTTGTTAAAACTTTTATGCTGAAAATAAGCACTTTTGAATGGTGTAAATTCATGGATCAAATTCTTAAATTTTTGGGCTTGAAACAATATTGGAGAGTGAATAACAAGTTATGGAAGTGAAGTTTGATGGAAGGTAGAATTTGTTGGAAATTAGCATTTGACATAATCACGACACTTGTCATTTGTGTTGAATGTTGATGAATCCATTGATCAAATGCTTGTATAATAGGTCTAGAAAAATTCAGGAATCAAAGCCGAGTCAATGGTCGATAGTTGACCAAAAGTTATTAGTTGACCAAAAATTCAACTATTTGACCGAAATGTCAATTATACCCAAAGATGCAGTTTTTTTTACCTTATTTCCTTGTAATTAATTCATTTGATTTGTATCTCAAGAAATATGCATTGCATCTTGAATTTCCAATAATGAATGAAATCTTCTTTTTATTTCAACTTTGTCATTTTCTTCTAATCCAAGCAAGTTTCTGAATTAAGTGACAATCATTTTTGTAAGTGCTTCTGATTGGCTGCATTTTGTGGCAAAACATTAGAGTGTGTATGGATGTCATAACTAATGATGTGACACACAATATGCAGGGTAAGTAGTAAGTTGAGTTGGATGTCATAATGAATGTCATGACACTGAGCGTATGACATCAGTCGCGCAGGTTTGTTTTTCTGGTATTCTGAATGAGGAAGCTCAGGCTAGAATTCAGGAAACTTTATAGAAGCTCAAGCTGGAAGTGAGGAAACATTTTAGAAGCCCTGGAGAAATTAAATGTACCTAACCTAAGTGGTAAGTGCAGCTTTTTGAAGAGAGGTTTGGGTAAACCTAATTGCTGCACCAAGGCCCAAAGCAGGTCTGCTATTATAAATAGCAGAAGGATCATTCCAACTGACTCAGACACACAGAGGAGAGAGCATCTAGTGAGAGATCATAGAGTGTGTTTGTGAGTGAAGAACCTTGTTCTTCACGTGAGTCTAGGAGTCTTAAGATTCCTTGTGTGCCAAGCAATTGTATGCTATAGAATTGTTGTGGTTATTGTGTCTGAACATGTGTGTTCATTGAAGTCACTAAAAGCTGTTAAGCAAGAGTGTGAGTCACTTGATCAAAGTTGTGAAGCACGATCAAGGTGTGTTTGAAGTATAACTTCGACAGTCTTTTGTAATTGTGTATGTGTATCAATGTGGTATGATTGAGGGGGAGTGAGTGGGAATACTCAAGTCTAGTGCTTTCTAGGCTGAAGTGTCATTGGGTAGGTTTTAAGTGAAGAGTGTAAACTGTAGGTTTTATTCTGAATTAATTCTGCTGGTAGTGAATTTCCTTCTTGGCTTGGTAGCCCCCAGATGTAAGTATTGTTGACACTGAACTGGGTAAACAATTACTGTGTTATTTACTGCTTTCTCTTAACAGCTTTTTAATTATTCCAATAGTCTGTGTTACAGTGGATGTTATAACATCCGTAATAACATCCATCGCGTGCTAGCCAGAATTTCAATTGGTATCAGAGCAGGCACCCTGCCTGTTATATCTGGGTGAGATTTAAGGAAAATAAATTTTGGTACTATGGATAAAGACATAGGATTCACAAATAGACCACCAATTTTGGATGGCTCCAATTATGACTATTAGAAACCTAGGATGATTGCCTTCTTAAAGTCTTTAGACGGCAAGGCATGGAGAGCTACAAACTCTGGCTGGGAACATCTTGTGAAGACTGACAAGGATGGAGTATCTGTGTTAATTCCTGAAGAGGAATGGAACAAAGAGCAAGAGGCCTTAGCTCTTGGGAACTCTAAAGCATTGAATTCATTATTCAATGTTATAGATAAAAACGTCTTCAGACTGGTACACCATTGTGAACTGGCTAAAGAGGTGTGAGATACTCTCAAAACAACTCATGAGGGAACCTCTAAAGTTAAGATGTCAAGACTTCAAATGTTGACAACCAAGTTTGAAAGTCTAAAGATGAAGGAGGAGGAAACTATTCATGATTTCTACATGAATGTCCTTGAACTCGCAAATACCTCAGGAGCTCTGGGAGAAAAGATGTCTGAAGAAAAGCTAGTGAGGAAGATCTTAAGATCATTGCCTAAGAGGTTTTCCATGAAGGTCACAACCATTGAAGAAGCCCAAGACATATGCCACATGAAGGTGGATAAACTCATTGGTTCTCTCCAAACCTTTGAGATGGGATTGTGTGATCAGGCTGTGGAGAAAAAGAACAAAAGCATAGCTCTTGTTTCAAATATTGCAGATGACTCAGAAGAAGAAGGTAAAAAGGAGGAAAATTTGTCAGCGGCCATAGCTTTGCTTGGAAGACAATTCAATAAATTGATCAAAAGGATAGATCATAAGTCAAAGCCTTATGCCAAGAACACCTCTTCTGACAGCAGCAGATGGGTGCGGGTCGACCCGCAAACCCGCCTACCCAAACCGAACCAACCCACTAATTACCCGGACCCATTCATTTACGGGTATACCCGACCCAACCCGTAACAACCCGTATAGATTTGGTTCGGGTATTGGGTTTTAGTTTCTAAACCCATGAACCTGTTGACCCAACCCGTTGACGTGGCATAATTAATTATTATATTATTATTTATAAATTTTAAAGTTGCTATAACTTTGTAAATTGTA